GAGAGAGAGAGAGAGAGAGAGAGTAGAAGGAAAGGGAGCATTCTCTGGAAATCCTAGAGCTGCTTGTATAGCGGCGCTTCTGTTACCGGAGGGGGAAATCGGTATCGTTTCATTTAAATCCACGTCGTTTTACGAGCTACCGGTGGTGCAAGGAATGAGAGAGAGAGAAAGAGAGAGAAAGAAAAAAAAAGGAAAAAAGAGCAGGAAACCTTTCACGAGACGCCAGGGCGAGCTCACGCGCACTCCTCCGCCAATGGTGTTTATTTTAGAATGCTTCGTTCGTCTCCGTAAATGCAATTACGGTCTTCCTGCGGGAATCGATTATCGCATTAGGTTATCCCGTGGACGCATCGGCTTCTTGAACTGCGGGGATTTAAATGGGAACATTTTCGGCCGGACAAGGTCCGCGTTATATGAATATGAATATTTCTTTTAATTCTGCAGTACGTCTAACGAACTCAACCGAATTTATAATTTCTATGATATGAAATGTGCGTGCTACAATGGAAAAAAATAGATTTTATGATGTAAATTACTACTCGCACTTTACTGCTTGCACTTTAGATTAATCGGTAGCAACATTCTGCAGTTATCTATGTAAAAGCTTATTTAAACAATAGGTAAATACGTGATAAATAATAAATAGATATAGAATCGTAACAAGCTGTTAACACCGTTTTCATGTTTCCCTCGATTGTTATAAATTGTCATACGAAGATTTTCTTGTACCGTATTGTCATTAATACGATGGGGCATGTCTGACCATACACCGGCACGTTCTACTTACTCTCCTATTACTCCACCGCTGAAACTTCTCATGCAGTTAATCCAGTAATAAAACATTAACGTAACAGTGAAAATGGAATAAATCGAAAGATAACTTGCACCAATATTTGTTCAAAAATTCATAAATTCCGCAGAGCAGAGTCGTATAAATTTCGCTTGACGAATACCGTGCGAGATCGATAATAAATACTAAACATTTGTGCAAAGAACATCGTGAAGCGCATGATTCTCTCGTGTATCCTCGCTCGGTGTCTCTTATTTCGCGAAACGAATAATTCTCCGCGACATCGTTGGCTACGCGCCCGTAAGTGGAGGTCACTGGTTTCCTCAACGCGCTCTAACACCCGAGAACTTTGTTACAAATGTCAGTAGAGGCGAAATGTAAAAAGTCCGCGTAAAGGGTACACTCTTGACCTAGTTCCGACCCGCCCGCCCTTTTAAATTAGTTCGCCAAACAAGAGGAGCTAGCTAGAGCGACGGGAGGAAGAAAGGTGCCGCGGGAAATGATACGGGACGTGTGTGTGTGTGTGTGTGT